GGGTAAAGAGAATAGTGCAACAATGAATGAGTGGAAGCCCAAAATCTCTGTAAATGTTTATGAAAATTAATAAAATATAATTATAGAAAAAAAAATCTTAATGACAAACTTAAATGAAATCTATATACTAAGCTATAATCAAAGCTAAGAGTATAGTCTTGAAGTATGTTGAGGGCCTTTTATTAGGTACAACATTTTCCTGACTTGCCCTACCATAGTAAAGAGAAGGAAGTAGAAAGTGGCAAGAGTCAGCAGTAGAAATAACAGAGAATGAAACAGTCAAGGGGCAGCTTGTTACTGCATGAATGATTATAGACACTATTAGGAGAAAAGAATTAAGGCTTAACTTGCTAGATTCTCATATCACTTTGTCCACTATTAGGGAGAAAAAGAGATTTAACTGAATTTGGTAAGAAAAAAAAAGATACAGGGTAATTAAGAATTGCAGAGAATCATGGGTGAGATACCAAAAATAACCTCGCCCTATCTAATCTTTGATCATTAACATTTAACACAAATTTAAAGTACACAATGCATATTTTTAATAGTCTATTATACTACAAGGAGCTCTGGAGGCTAGTGGCAAAAAGCTGCACTGCAATCTCAAAAACAAACAGTTCAAGGCCACCAGCTGCTCTGCGGGAGAAGGATAGGCAATCTCCTCCCATGCAACTACTTGCCTCTGAAAATCCACTGAGGGTCAGCTATGGGTTGGTTCCAACTCTATGGTACACAACAACATTATACCATAACTTAATCTGAAATTTAAAATGTCATGCATGTTGTTGTTATTGTTATGTGCTGTCAAGCTGCCTACAACCCAGCAACCCTATGTACAGTAGATCTGAACCCTGCCCTGTCCTGAGCCAGTATCACTAATTCCGACACACCAACCGCCATTGCCCCAGTTCCTGTATCAATCGATCTCATTCTGGGTCTCCTCTCCTGCACTGTCCCTCCACCCTTCCGAGCATGATGTCCTTCTCTAATAACAACATCTAAATAATCCACAGTTTAAAGAATAAATCATAAGAGAAACTAGAAACAGTTTAATAAGAATGACAGTGAAAACACAGTAAAACTTGTGGGATACATTTAAAGCTCTACTTAGAACCTGATGGCTTTAAAGGATAAATTAGAAAAGATGAAAGGCTTAAAATAATTTAGCCTAAGAAGCTGGAAGAAACAAATTAAACTCAAAGTAAATACAAAGAAGGAAATAATAAAGAGAGTTGAAGTCA